GACATGGCCCATAACTCAATGTTAAATCCCAGTTTTTAAAATTTATGATAAAAGGAAGAAGACCACCACAGTTAAAGAACAAGAACTATGTTAAAAAACAGAAAAGTTAGAATTATGTAAGTAATCAAATATATGAAATATTCTAAAGGTATTGGATATTTTATTTTATGGGAAGCTCCTTTGTGCTTCTTTATTTCTATAACTGTCAGGGTGTTCTTCTGTTATAGTATTCTCTTAATGTAACATTTTGCACTGTAACTGTTACTTTTCTTATCCACCTACCAATAGACTGTGTACTTTGTGGCTTTAGTTTATGCCTGGCATATCGTAGGCACTTGGGTAATGTTAAAAGAATGTACAGTAATAAATTAATGTGACTCCCATTGGTGAAAAGTAGTTATTGTAGCTTACATCAGACCCTGGCATTTTTATCAGATACTTCACTTTGAAATATATTGGCTGAATTTGGGACACTACCAGGAACAATTAAATATGTAGTTCATACGTTGTAAAATATAAGCATGGGCAAATAATGACTATTATATGGAGGCCTAGTATTGCACAGATATTTAGCATAAAATTGGAACGGTACACTTAACGGTTCTCTGGTTATCTGCATTATCTAAAAATGTTAACGTTTATGTGTATAGCTTACATATATAGATATAAACTGGTACTTTGCTATATTAGATTTAAGTCAAATCCCTTTTTTCTCTTTTATAATTATTCCAAGATGCTGTTGGTAGAAACTATTTTTAAATATACACATATAAACATATTTATATGTATTTTACAAGTATATGTATACATGTGTATTTATATGTATATTACATGAATCACATTTCTGTATATAATTTCTGGGAGTTTAAGATATATTAATTAAAAAAAAAGATATCTTAATTTTTTTGTCTGTAATTTTCTACAAGCCAAGACCATGAAAGGAATGTTTTCAAGTTGTCAGTGGTATTTTCTGGGAAAATACCTGATTTATTGAACTTGTAGGAAAGCATGTACTTATTTTATTTATACTTACAGGAAAGATTATGCATTAAGTTAAATTAAAAAAGTATTTGAGGCTATGAATTAATGAAAATGAAGAAATAACAGCTGCTTTCACATGTGATCACATTTAGTCTTTAAAGCTAAAACTGGTATCTTGCCCAAGCTTTCTATATGTAAAAAAAGAGGCACAGACTCAGCAGTGTAGTGCTCTGCTCCAGGCAAAAGCTTATGCTCCGCAAATGCTTCATGGGATGACACTTGTATTTTATTTTTATTTTTTATTTTTTATTAATCTGTATACCCAACACGGGTCTTGAACTCACAACGCTGAGATCAAGAGCGTCATGTTCTACCAAGTGAGACAGCCAAGCTCCCCGATTTGTGTATCTTAGATAACACCATAAGTTGAGTTTCCTGTACAACAAAAGTGAAAACAGAACTGAATCCTGCTCATCCCCCTTCTGCAGATATTATTTCAGTTTACCTTTAATTATATTCATCAACTTGCTTCTCTGCTGGTGTTCTGTTTCTAGTGCATTTTAACTTTATGGTTTAGTAGAACATAATAGTGACAGTCCAAACAGTGAAAAATGTGAACGGACTTGTATTTTAAATCAGCAGCAGTAGAGGGAGAGAGTATTCCCATTCATTCCTTAATTACTCATTATCAGTACAGTCTAGTTTTTTGTATCATCTGTGTTCATATTGATTTTCCTCTCTTGACTAGTCAGATGCAACCCCATGACACAGTAACAATGTCAGCTTAAAAGGTTTTGATTTTTCTAAAACAATATATGGACTGGATAACTTCTTTCATTTTAGAACCAAGAATTTCTGTCACATGCAGACCATGGGATCCTGAGTCAACCTTAAATGCTGCTTGTGGGGACATCATTGTTTCCCCCTCAGGACAGGGCACCGGATTACTGGGGTGTGATGGGGAGGTGCAGGCAGAGGGCTTAGGGCGAGGACCTGGATTGGGGGGGTGGGGCTCCTCTTTTGGTTAGAGACACTACACTGTAGAGTTTCTATAAATAAGACCCTTTGCTGGGGACACAGCAGTGATCAAGTCAGACAGGTTCCTCCTAATCTCTCTGTTGCTGAGTCAGTGGCCACTTCTCAATCTTCATCTTACTTAGCCTGTTGGTAACATTGACAGGTAAGCACTCTCTCCTCCCACTTCCTTGAAACACCTTCCTAACTTGGTTTCCAGCGTGCTACATACACTTGTTTTTCTTCCTCCCATACTGGTTGCCCCTTCTCAATCTTCTTTGCTTGTTTTGCTTCTTCTGCTTCACCTTGTAGTGTTACTGTGCTTCAGAACTCAGGCTTTAGATCTTTTCCTTATGTTCATTCATTGCCGCACTTGATCTCAAGATTTTAAATACCATCCATATGCTGGTGAGTCCCAAATTTACATCTCCAGCCCAGATCTCGCCCATGACATTCAGATTTGTGTATGTCCAACTTTCCATCCAACACCTCCACCTGGATATTTAATAGGCATTTCACAGTTAATGTTCCAAATCTGAATTAATGAGCACCCTTTCTACACTAAACTTGTCCATTATCCACTCTAATCTCTGGCCTGATGTAGCAATAGCCTTTAATGCTTTCTACCCTTGCCCTTTTGTTACAGTCTAGTCTGAGCACAGTGTGATCCTGTTAAAAGGGAAGTCGCATTGTGACAGTCTTCTGCTCTGAAGTCTCTAATGGTTTTCTATCTCAGAGTAAAGCCAAAGTCCTTACCAGTGGCTGACAGGGCCCTACGTCATCTGCTCTCCCTCCCCTTACTTTTCTGATCCATTCTTCCCCCTCTTTTACTGTATTCCAGGACTGTTTCTTGTGAACATGCCAAGCCTGATCTCTTCACAGAGTTTTCCCATATTCTGTGCTCTCTGCCTAGAACGCTTTCCCCACATGCTTGTTCCTTGCTCTCTTCTAATATTTTGTTCAAATGTCACCTTTGCGTGAGGCCTTCCCTGACCACCCTATTTAGTATTGTAGCACCCATCCCACACATTCACTCTTCTCATCTCTGCTCTTTCTCCATAGCACTTACCACCTTTTTATATTGCATTAATTTACTTACACATTTTTATTGTGCTTCTTTTCACACTTGCTCCATGAGGGTAGGATTACTTTATTTCTTTACTGATGTTTCTATAGCACCTAGAATGGTGCCTGGCACATAGTAAATGCTCAGTACAAATTTGTTGAATGAAAGGAGACAAGAGTTGTTTAATATTATGTGAGGTATGTCTGCGTCCCAAGTCAAAATACATGTTGGTTTATTTTTTTTTATTTTTTTAAAGATTTTATTTATTTGACAGAGAGAGACACAGCGAGAGAGGGAACACAAGAAGGGGGAGTAGGAGAGGGAGAAGCAGGCTTCCGATTGAGCAGGGAGCCTGATGCGGGGCTTGATCCCGGGACTCTGGGATCATGACCTGAGCTGAAGGCAGACGCTTAACCGACTGAGCCACCCAGGTGCCCCAAAATATACATGTTGGTTTAAATCGGTTGTGTCACTTATTCATTTTATACCTGCCATTCCTTGAGAGTAGTATTTGAGGCAAATCTGCACCTATTTGATAGTTATATAATTTGGTTAACTATTTGACCAAATATGTATTCATTGGCTAGAACCTGAGTCAAAGGGAGGCAAACATCTTATGGAAACCATGTTTGGAAAGCCAAACTTATATTGGTAGGTGAAATCATTAAAAGATTGATTAGGAAGATCTAAATTGAACTGCTGTGGAGAAAAAAAAAAACCCTTTCGATCTATTATAGTCCCTAGACTTGTTAAATACTTTTATTCCATATAATAAGCAACTTAATTGTCTACTTTGGCATTTATTGTAGTCAACTTCCAACAAATTTAGTACCAGATGAAATATTTCCTTGTCACAAAATCAATTGCTCAAATCCTTCTAAGTATTAGAGCAGTGATTTTTAAAAACCTTATAATTATTATTAGGAAAAGAGTACTTTAAGAAAGAAATCACATAGCCAATTGAAAAACAGGTAGAAGTGGAATCTACCTACGTCCAAAGTTCAGGAGAATAGTTCTTACGATCACTGGCAGGAATGGATGAATGTGCTCACTGCCCTGCATCTGGTTTCTGTGGAATCTGAAACCGATACAGTGTGTGTGTTGGTGGGTTGGGGAGAGGGGTTGAAAAAAGAATATGAAAACTATCCTTTTAGGTACAGGGCTTTGGAAGGGCCCTGAAGCTTCGTCTGATCTTAATGATGATGTTGGTGATAGAGATGAGCGTTAACACATTGAGCCTTGAGATGCCCAGCACTGTTCCAAGCACGTTTCATGCATTATTCCCCCAAACAACCAGAGGTACAGAGAAGTCATGCCCAGGGTGACACAGCTGGGAAGGGAGAGAGTGAGGAAGGGTAGAAATGAAGAAATTAGACTGAGAACAGAGACCTCCATCAGCCTTAGTCCTGCCACCCATTAATTGGGGAAACATGGAAAACAGCACTTCATCTGGGTGTGTATCCTCGACTCTACTTGTGCAACAGAAATATTGATGCCAGCTATGAACTCCTCATTCTATTGTGCTAAGGTCAGGGAAGGTGTGTGTTAAGTGCTTTGTGTAGAGTGCTTGGAAATGTGGCGTGTTATTAAATTGCTTTTCAGGGCGCCTGGGTGGCTCAGATGGTTAAGTGTCTGCCTTCGGCTCAGGTCATGGTCCCGGAGTCCTGGGATCGAGTCCCGCATCGGGCTCCCCGCTCTGTGGGAAGTCTGCTTCTCCCTCTGCCTCTCTCTCTCTCTCTCTCATGAATAAATAAATAAAATCTTTAAAAAAAAATAAAAATAAACAAATAAACAAATAAATAAATAAATAAATTGCTTTTCATTCCAGCACAGTATTATAGGTGAGGCTTGCAAATATGATGAATTCCGCTGACTTTTTCTTTCACTTCTAATGTTTCTAATTTATCTCTTAGACGTGATTTTTTTTTTTTCTTTTTAGGTTACTTGTCTGCAAGACTTTTTTGGTGATGATGATGTTTTTATTGCTTGTGGACCTGAAAAATTCCGTTATGCCCAAGATGACTTCGTCCTGGATCACAGTGGTAAGGCCATTCTTTGACCGTCCTGGTAACCCTGAAACAGAGTCTCGGGGTTTAATCAGTTGGCCCATGCTAAGTGGTCTGGCATGTTGAAGAAAGATGACATTGGCGGTACTCTTTTTGAACTAATGAAAGTAGAGAATAAAATGAAAGCATTTGCTTAGTTGTTAAAAACTGAAAACTTAGTTCAAGTAGTTTTCATTTTGTAGACTAAAACAAGTTGTCTTTTTACTGCATTGTTTTGCCTCTGATATGGATTTCCTTCCCTGTTTCAGAACAGTGGCTGGCTGTGCCACCTTAAATATACAGATTGTATTGAGTCTGAAATGGTTAGTTGTGCATTTTCTGTGTACATAATGAGATATGTAAAAGGATCATAACTAAATTGTTAATCGTGGTTGTCTTAGCTTTCTTTTTACTTCATCGTTTGCAACTTTAAAAAAAATGCATTGTTTGTATATGCAGAACAAAAATAAGGCTATTTTCATTAATAGAATAAGAAAATCCCTTTCTCCAGTGTATGGAGTTTTCAACTTCCATGTATGGCGTTTTCAACTTTTTAGCAATAACCCCAGTGATTTCAAGTGTTATTGATTCTAGGAAAATTGCTTTACCCTTTCGTCTTGAATTAATTTAAACCTATTATAGTAATAGTGATTATTTTAGCTGATAGTAAAGTCAACTTCCTCTTTAAATGAGGTAAAATCATACAGACATAACATTTCACTTAGGAGAGTGATGTAAAAGATAAAGTCTCACTCTTTAATTTCATGAGTGAGGAAAGTTGGCCTTTCAAAAATTAGACCGATGGTAGACCCTTTCCAGTTGTAGTGATTCTGACCATCCAGAATTAGAGAAACATGTCAATAAATACTGTGATCCATAAACTTCTTAAAATTCAAGATGATACATTTTGTGGTACCAAACTTCCTTGTGCAATTCTTTCCTGTTACACTATGTTGGTTACCTTGGGGATAATTTATCTGCTTTGTGCTTGGGGCTCATTTATCTATATTTTTTGTTTTTGTTTCATTTTCTCACTGCCGCCAAATATCATTGAGGGTTTCTGTTCTGTTTTGTATTCTGATGGACTGGCCCTGCTTTAAACTGGTAATACCACTGGAAAGAAGCGCAGAGAATGTCCTTTTGTATTACGTGTGCTAATGCTCTCCCCTGTTGCCATGGATGATTAAGGTTGACTGAAACGTGCATTTGCATTATCATCTGTAATTTATATTTCTTGATTTTAGCTTAATCTCATTTCATATTATTTCTTTGATGTCAATCAGTAAATTTGGAAGTTGAGACACTGAAACACAATGATATCTTCTAGGTTATAAAGTTAATTTGGGTTAACAACAACAAAATATTTATTGAGTACATACTATGTATATACCAGGCATTGTACTCCATGCTTTATGTGTATGTTGTAAACTTACCTAAGCTAGTTTTATCATTCATAGTTTTTGTTGTTAGCTGTTGATGGGCTCCCAATAGTGAAAGGTGGGTGTAAGCTACTGATTTCTTCCCTCCCAGTTGCCAATTACTTAACCTTCTGCAAACTGGGGATAACTGGCGTTTTTGTAAGATTTTATGTCAATATATATAAAGCAGTTACAAGGGTACCTGTTGTATGTGCTATGGCTCTTGTTATTGTAAACGTCATTATTATACCACCACCAGCAGGTCATAAAATCAAACCTAATTCTGCCACTGTTACATTTATTTGGAGGAAAAATTGTGTATTTTTTTTTAACCAGTTATTTAACTTGTATTTAATCTTAAAGTCCTAACTTCAAATCCTTTTAGGATTTTGATAAGACATTAAAATGCTAAACGCAGTCTTAGCCCAGTAACAGAATCCTCCTTCAAGAACTGGCTTCAGGACTGGTTAAGCGTCCTAAAACTAGGGTGTAGTTCTGAAGCTCTAGTTATTGGTTCTCTAGATTTACACTGCTTATGAAAGAGTGGCACTCCCTTTAAGATGTTTCTGACTAACACACACACCACTCCTTTCAACAACAGAATGCTGTTTAACATCCACAATGCTAATTAACCTAGCTGAAGTTGCTCCAGCCCCTTCTGAGTGAGGTTTAGATTAGGGTCTTTCAAATGCTAACTAGCCTCCCCTGGTGTGTGTTTTCCTGATTACTGGACTTCACATGTTAATTTATTGCCCCTGAGGTATAGATTAAAACCAACCCACATCTTAACCTTACCACGTAAATTGAAGCATTTTAACGTAAATGACAGACAATATGCTATCTAATTTAATCCTTATAACAAGCCTACGAAGCAGATTTTATTCCTATCCCAATTTCATAGGGGAAATAACTGAGGCTTAGAACCTAACCGAGGTCCCCCAGTTAGCAAAATCAAATTCATGATTCATGCAAAATCTGCATGACTCCAAAACCCGTGTTCTTAATTATTCAAATTAGCAGTGATTATTTTAGCTGTAATTAGTTCTGGTCCTCTAAATGCTGTTTAACTTGGTGATTTGTGGAAAAACCAAAGTTATTGTTGAAAGCTAGTTTCCTCATTTTTTGATGCTCCATACTTAGGGAAGGTGGAAAATAAGACAGTAAGGAGTCCCATACCCTTTCAAAATAAAATTATCAGAGAATTTGGAGAGAATAAAATTGTAGCCTTTTGCTACTGACTAAAAAAGGAAGTTGCCCATGTTTAGATTAGGCTTTATGGTTGTGACCAAGTTAGGACATTGGAATTTCTGTATCCAGTAAGAACTCCACTGAAAACAATGACGTGGTCTACAAGATGCATAGCCTGACTAAAGATAACCTCAGGTGTACTTTTGGGACAGTTGCTTTGTCTATTAAAGTTGTTTTACAGTAATGGGAAAATGATCAGGTAATCGTTCTCTGGCAATAAACCACATTCACGTGTGATCTTCCCTTGGTTAGTATTTAAACCAGATTTAGTTAATGCACTTTACTTCCTTTCTAGAATGTCGTGTCTTGAAGTCATCTTATTCTCGCTCCTCAGCTGTTAAGTATTCTGGATCTAAAAGTCCTGGGCCCTCCCGACGCAGCAAATCACCAGCTTCAGGTAGTTAGTCATTCTTCAGTTTCTTTAATTATTATGAACTGGTAGTCTTTCCCATGTTTGCATGCAGCCAGGTTCCAAAATAACATGTAGATGACATGATTTTTAAAACCAAAAATTTAAGTCTGTTGCTCAAAGCTGTCATAAATCTGCTAAGACACTTGTTTGTTTTATTCTCACACATTTTCTCAAGAACAGTCTATATCTAGAATCTTCTGGTATTTACATAGAAGTGTTTCACATTTGGACCACAGCGTACTGTATTTTTAGCTTTGTGCTATATGATTGTGGATATTTTTCTTCTCTTATTGGTTTAAAATATACATCCAACACAGAATGCATTTACTTGGTAAGTTTCACTGGCTTTTCCTTCAAGCAATTTAATAGTAGCAATGATTATTATTAGAAATTGGTACTTATTTAAGAGTCAGACTTACCTGTAATTAAGTTTCTTTCAGGTTCTAAACCTGTAGATCTGTCATAATTTTGACTGTTTTTTTCAAAGCTAGAAACACCTATAAATATCTTGATGTATTAATTCTATAGGGTTTGTTTATAGTAATTGTAACTAATTTTGCTGATACCATTTCCCTTTAAGGAAAGGATTGTGAAAAACCATGATTTTACAGGTGGGAAATCTAGAACATGTGAAAGTAGTATCAATTAAAACTGTGTCAAGCACCAGACCCTCTAAAAGATGGAGTTTCTTGGACATCGTACTTGTCACTGCTTCCCCTTCAGCACCCACCCCACTTTCCTTCAGTCTGGTTGTTTTGCCCTTCTTCTGTATACGCATTCAGACCTGCTGAATAACTGCTCTCCTTGCTGTCTCCTCCTCTTTGTATTCACTGAATGTGCACAGTAAAGAGGGGTGGCCACCACTCCAGTGCCTGCTCTGCGGCCAGATCCCCAGGTGAGCCATGATAAGAATGGCTATGTCGCTCTGCTGGGTTTTTGTTTCTGTCTTTTGCCACATTTCTGTTTCCTTTCACTCCATTTCCATGAACGTCTCTGGCTTGTACCAGGTACATCCGTGCGCTGTGGAACGCTCCACCGTGTGTGGGATGCCTCAGCACCCCTTCTTTGTTGGAGAGCCAGTCGTTGCCAGAAGATGGCCAAGTGTCTCTCTGTGTGTAGTTACAGGACAAAGGGATCGAGGAGCCATACCACCTCAAAGGATCTACCTTCTTGTTAATTTTGGAAAATATCCCATTGTCGAAAGAGGTGAACGTTTGTTGGTGATATGAAAATGGCCACAGGGGCAGTTAAACTTTTCTGTTCTCACCTTCTTCTCCTTCTGTTCTTACCTTCCCCACCCTACAGCTAATAGACCCAACACTCTTTCTGAAAATACTGACAATATGAATATGTTCAACAGAAGGCATCTCTCTGCTGGGAAGCTTAGTTCAAATCATATTATGCTTTCTGTCAAGTATCTCAGACACTAGGAAAGCTAATATAACACGAGATTGGCATAAATACAATTACCTGAGCTTACCATATGGTAAATGTAGATTTTTGTCAGGTTCTTGGCTTTCGTTTTAGCCAAGGTTTACAGATGTTTATCATATCAGTAAAATAAATAGAAGTAAGGAGAGTGATTCAAAAATCAGGTATTATAATGAATCCAATACATACTCAACTAAGAGCATGTTTCATAAGCCGTATTTCTCTTGCAGACCAATATGTTTGTATAAATAAAGATTTATTCAAATCTTTTTAAATTGAATTTGGGATGCTTAGAAATTGATTCAAGAAATCCTAACATTTCAGGACCCCCAATTTTTAACTAAGTCTGTATTTGCACTTGGGATAGTAGAGTAGATCTTAAACTTGTAAGTAAAAGTTGTGAGATGTTTAAATCACGTTTTGGAGAGCAAACAGCGTCTTATGAGAGATTAAACCCCAAAGTATGTTCACCACATCCTGCAGTTACAGAAAAGTTAGGGATTTGTATTAAAAGCCAAGTACCCACAAGTACAACTCACTTTTACAGACCTCTAGCTGTGGTATATACCTGTTAACATTTAGAAAATTCTGTGGGACAAACTGGAATCTCAAACAGAACTAGTAACTTTGTAGACATAACATTGTACTTTTTCGGTCTTGGGATAGAAGTGCACCGTAAGTGCAGTCTTCTGGTTGACTGAATTCCTCAACAGTGTGTAATAAACACATAGAAATTCATCTGGATAACATAAGTAGGTAAATATTACTGTAATGAGCCCTAAAAAGGCTCACTTTAGGTTTCTAGCTTGTGAATCTTTCAGAGTCCACCGAGAGAAAATATTCAGAACAAACCAACCAAAAAGCCCAAGTTTATTTCTTCCCTTACAGTTGAGGGGAGGTGTGGATAATAGCCTTCTTTTGGGAGAGAAAGTCAGGGGGTGGTGAAGGAGTGGTACATGATGGAGGTGTGGAATGGTTGTTGTCCACCTGCCAGTTTTTGGCAGCCCTGTGAGGGGAGCATGCCCAATGTGATCCTGTCCTGGGTCCCACTTACCCTTCCTGAGACTCGGGAGAAATGTGCAAAGAAATGAAATTAAGAACTACTCATGAAGGAACATTTTTTTAAAAAAAGATTTTACTTATTTATTTGACAGAGAGATAGCAAGAGCAGGAACACAAGCAGGGGGAGTGGGAGAGGGAGAAGCAGGCTTCCCGCAGAGCAGGGAGCCCGATGTGGGGCTCCATCCCAGGACCCCGGGATCACGACCCGAGCCGAAGGCAGACGCCCAACGACTGAGCCACCCAGGCGCCCCTGAAGGAACATTTTTTAGAATTTTCCAAATGCTCTGGGAAACTGAGAAGCCCAAATGTGACTTGGTATCTCTTTAGGATGAGATTATTTGGAGGGAAATATGGACATGTAGTTACTGACACCAGTAAAACCCCTGGCAGTGAGTTTTGTCAAGAAACTGTTTAGGAGGGGGTGTAGTTTTAGGGAGTTTTGTCTGCTGTCAAGATCACCATTTGCAGGAATTGATTTTTATCCTTTCGTTCCTTTTCTGTCACTGTTCCAAGGTAGCCTCTGCTATTAATGTGGTGTCTGAGTATCTGTGAAAGCTAACAGCACTTATTGAGTAGAGGCTGGTGATGTGCACAGATTGCTGTATGGAATGAAGAAAAAAGTAAAATTCAGTCTTAACTCACAGCAAATTGACTAGTTCATTGCCCATAATAATCTCTATTTTATGTGAATTCCTGCCACCAATTCCCTTTTAAAGAGAATTTTTAAAAGAAACAACATTGAGGGGCGCCTGGGTGGCTCAGTCGTTAAGCGTCTGCCTTCGACTCAGGTCATGACCCCGGGGTCCTGGGATGGAGCCCCGCATGGGGCTCCCTGCCTCTCGGGAAGCCTGCTTCTCCTTCCCCTGCTCCCGCTGCTTGTGTTCCCTCGCTTGCTGTGTCTCTCTCTGTGTCAAATAAATAAATAAAGTCATAAAAAAAAGAAACAACATTGAAATTTAACTTAATTGAGAAATGATCAGGACTGTTGAATATTCTAAAAAGTTCCTAATTGCACAGTTCCTCGTGTTGTCCTTGCACTCTAAATATGTACATACATTTGTTAAATTATAGATAACGGATCATTGTTTATGCATGAGTGTTTTTAAATTAGAAAAATTAAAGTTTAGTAAGTTAAAAGTGACTAGAAAATTTTTTCATCCTTACCCAATTTAAAATGAGCAATGCAATAAATAAGCATGACTTCATAGACCCAGATACCTTGGTTTATAGATGATTCATCTAATCACAAATACTTGTTGATCCAAGACTTTTGCCTCCACTCAAGGACTGGTACTCACTTTTTTGAGTCACCTATTTTGGACTTTTGCCTCTGCATTTTGCTTTTTTATATTTATTTGCTTCATTTAAAATAATAGTTGTCTGCTTCTTCATATTTGAAAGGAAAAGAAAAAGATGGACTTTTCTTTCTATAGAGATGAATGACAGTTTTCATCTTTGGGCAAAAGCATTGAAGATTAGTGATAAAAAGGGGTTGCAAATACTTCTTAGAAAAATAATTACACCAGTCCTAGATGTTAACAACCATCTTTGTGAAATGACAGCAGAAATGGATTCAGGTGATACAATTAGGAATAAGTTTGAGTCATGCTGAAATGTTTGACCAGCATTCTCTAGTATAAAATCTGCAAATTTACCTTCCCTTCTAAACAGCAGTGGTCATACTTTTCCTAGCTATGCTCTAAATTGAGCCTTCAACCTAGGAAGTGTGTGGAAGTTTGGAGGGGCTTCTGTTGAAAAACCATCAGGATTTACTAAATAATGGGAGAAGTTAAACTGTGAAGGCAAGAAAATGGAAGGAATTAAAAATGACTAGATAAAAAGTTGAAGAGTATCTTTTATGGCCTTCAAACAAATAAGCAGATGTTGCAAGAAAAATGACCAGTAATTTTCCCTTTCCATTAAGAATATGCTTAGAAAATGTGTTTGGATTATGGTGGAATTGATTTGGGAGAGCCGTAGAACTTCTTGGGTATTCAGGTTCGTATATACCGATATTGGAAATTATAGGACAGCCTTCATAGTAAAGTATTACAAACATACCAGCCATTTCATTTCTCTGCCCTTCCTGGCAGTCAGGATATATGGACAAGTTCCCATTCACATCTCTAATTCCATAATGTTTTATATATTTGTTTATGTCACTGTTGGAAAACTATTACTGATAACAATTCTAGTTTCACTCCTTATTTGTCTGATATTTTGTAATGCAGTAAAACACATTATTTTTGCTTTTCGCTGATTTGCCATCTGCTTTGAGCTTTAAATGAATTCAAGCTTCATTGGAGCTATGTTGTGCATGTGCTTAGTGTTTTTGCACAATCTGGTTATTTGGGGTTTTAATGACCTCTGTCTCCTCTGTTGTCTCATGGTCAGTTAATGGAACTCCCAGCAGCCAGCTGTCTACTCCTAAATCAACAAAATCCTCTAGCTCTTCTCCAACTAGCCCAGGAAGTTTCAGAGGATTAAAGGTATGAAATAGGATATATTGTGTGATTTTGTGATTTTGTTGTGTTTGTGTGATTTTGTTGTTTTGAATTGCATAGTTTGGTAGTTTAATTTGTTCAGGGGCTTGGGTGCAATAACAAATCAAAAAGGAAAGAGTTTAGGATTTGGAGCTGGGAAGACCTGCCTTTGAATCCTGTGTCCTTTTTATCTTGTAATTTGGGTCAACTCACCTCTTCTGAGCTCAAGTGTTCCTATCTCTAAAATGGGAATGTAAGGTTGTGGTTAGGGTTGAACATACTGGGGTAAAATATAGTAAGTAGTAGTTTTCCCGTTATTATCAAAATGATTTGCAATGGGAAAGCCTTGGAGAACGCTATACTTCTTTTACAAATCTCATTTTGAATCATTATTTTAATATTGCTAACCTAATTCGACTTTGCGAAAGTTTAAAATAGGTTGAAATACTAGTAAGGTACTTATGTGCATATGTAGTAACCCAAGAAGATATGTTCATTTTGGTGAGAAGTTAGAAATAAATCTTAGGTTTTGACTGTGATATCCTAAAAATATAAATGGTAACTTAACATGATCAGCAGTTGGTTTAATAGACATTTTTTTGGTTTAATAGACATTGTGTCTAATAGGGAGAAAAATGGATGAAACCAAATTTGCAAAAATTTCAGCAACATTAATTTCATCTAGTAGCTTTCAATAATTTAAATTTATAAGAGAAAATTTGCCTGGTAAAATAGCAGTAAATGAGGTTAAAAACTGAGTTTTCGGGGCACCTGGGTGGCTGGGATCAAGCCCTGCATCGGGCTCCCTGCTCCGCGGGAAGCCTGTTTCTCCCTCTCCTACTCTCCCTGCTTGTGTTCCCTCTCTCACTGTGTCTCTCTCTGTCAATAAATAAATAAAACTCTTAAAAAAAAAATTGAAAGTTTTCCTTTTGTAGAAACAATGAAATCTGCATGGTAATGTACCCTAAGAATACGGAAGTATACATAGTGCTGTGTATGCATGCGTAAATTAACTTGTTCTCATGGTATTTTGGTGACATTGGAAATGTCTTCATTAGGAATACATTCCCCCAAAGTTGGTTGCCTAAACACTTCAGATATTGTCTGAATGGTTTTCTTTACTTTAAGGATGTTGAAAAATCTTTTTCATTAGTACAATGGATTGTAAGAACCCCACCACCCCTGGGTGAGTGAGGAATGAGAACCTGCAGAGCAGTGAGGACGGTGGGCCTTCCACTTCTCCAAGGGCTCATTCTCCACCTGACTCTAAGGTTTGGCTGTCCTGCCCTGAGAAGGTTGTGTGATCATTCAAGGTGAACTTGCATGATTCTCATGTAAGTGACAGAGATCAAAAAGAGAAATTCCTTCCTGAAAAGGACAGCTTGTTTTTGTGCCTGCTTGACTGAGGTGGGTAGTAAGTGTGAGAGAGGGGAGTATATAGCTCTCACCTACCTCCAAGTGCTAGGATCTCCTTTATCAAAAGAACCAGGCATTTTGAGGTGCGAAACTGTCTTAGGTCAGTTTATAGTATGATTTCAGTGGAATTCTAAACTGTTAATAACAAAAAAGTTATATATAAATTAAAAATCACTAAGCAGCAAAGTATTTTCAGCTTCCCCCCAATTTATTGTACCCCAAATAGATAGGAGATGCACTGTTTTTAATTTGAGTAACTTTCAAGAGAACTAAAGTAAAAATAATTCAAGTTCATTCACTTCTTTTCTAATTTCAGTCCTGTGTTAAAAGTAAAAGCAAGTGGCTCCTGGTGCTGGTAACTTTTAACCTTAGGGCAAATCCCACACAGACTTTCCAGTGAGCCAGTCCTGTCCTCCCACAGGCCATTGCTCCGGGCAGGATACTGAATCCTTTGCTTCCTTGTTGTTTCATTCACTTCCCTCTTTGTTATCCCTCGGTAACCGTTGCTTCCATCTTTCTTTCTAGCCCATCTTCAGCTGTGAGCCCAAGATTGTTCCTTTTTAATTGTTGCTACTAGTCAGTCGGTGCTGCTTAATGCTTAGAGCACACACCCACCCTACATACATGCACACAAACTAGCACAAGATCACTTATACTCCTGGAGTGGAGATTCGTGGAGTTTTGAAAACATGATAAGTTGTTTTATTGCTGAGACATTAGATAAAGTTGTTCTCATTATGCTGAGTGTATTGGAAATGGTATAGCAACCCCAGCAATCTAGCACACAGCTCTCTTGGTTACTGGTCAAGATAGAAGATGAGATTATCAGTAAGATAAGGAGTAGTGGTCTTTCTGTTACTGGTGGGAGAGAGCGTTGTGTGAATGGGGAGGTCTCAGCTTGGATTCCCCATGAAAAGATACATAGGGATCCGTGCTCAGAATAAAGACGGCCAGAAGGAAAGTAGCAAGTACAAAGCAGTTCATTAAGGTGAAAGGACACTCTCAAGGTGGGAGAGCGGACAAGTTCCAGGAGGTGGAACCAGCCCCTAGGTTGTTTTGGGATTGGGTATTACTGGGTCTTTCTGGGACAAGCAGTGTGGTGGGTGGTCTCTAGTGGAGGCTGCTTCCAGTCTTTTGGGAGACTCCTCCCACAGGTTGGGAGGGGGAGTGTTTGACCCTGCGAGGTTTGTACCAGAACCATCAAGGTAGCTTTTCTCCATTGGCCATTGGGCATTGGGCAGGGCTATACCCGCAATTCAGATACATTATAATGAGTTTAGGGGTTACCCTGGGGCAGAGGTGGAAGAGGGGAGTACTGTGTTCTGTACCCATGGCTCTTGATCTGTCAGTCCCAGGGTCTTAGAAGCCACAAGGTCAGGATGTTGTGCCCCCCCCCCCTTTTAATGTGTCACCTATTTATCACTGTCCTTGCCTCCAGCTCCTGTCTCTATCATTCTCCCCTCAAGGCCTTGGGACTCTGCCTCTCAGCATTCCTCCCACTGCTCAGTCTAGCTTCTACCTAACTTTTGCATGACCCTACCCCCTTCCCTCCCAAACCCACTTTGTCTTCCACCACACTTGAGGCCTGTGGGCTTTACTCACAGCTGTGAGACCTCCTCTGTGTTTTCTATCATCATCAAATAAGGACATTTGTTTTCAAATGACCACTAAAGTGCTGGGATTATAGTTCTTTAAATTAGCAAAAACCCACAAAAATTTACTTAGGAGGCAGGGGGAGTCTATTCTCTTCACTTTAAAGCTGATACAGAATTACTGAATTTTACATTAAATATTAGCAGCTTATATTAGCAGCTAAATATTAGCTGAATCTCTGCCACACTGATCAGCTTTTAGGCCACAATGCTAAACTGTTGCCTATTCCCCTGGGTCATGCCTTATGGAAATTGCGTCTCCTGACTGTTCCCAGCAGTCCCTGGTATTGGATATTGTTGTGGGGATGAAGACCTGCCTTTGAAATACTGCCGCTTAGTCATGTTACTTACTGTACAAAATACCCTAATTTCGACGTCAGTGTAAGCTCTAGTCAGCATCTGTCCACGTTTGCATTATTTTCTCTATTCAGTGACATTACAAATGGAGAATTACAGATAATTACCATGTGTTAGTTCTCTGCTTTTTTCTTCCCCTTCATTTAAAATGGCTTATTAAGATCAATTAAGAGGGAATGTCTGACAATGGAGGGCTGTTTTGCACAGGCAGGAACTATTTATCCTGGTTAGATGCTTTAATGGCTTTGGGGATAGCTAATTTTTATCGAGAGAATCAGAATTGACAAAAGCAAGCAAACCAAGCCAGGACAGCCTGTGTAGGAGATGATACTCCTGTCTCTCTATCTGCCAGGACACAGCTTCTGCCAGATTATTTACTTACTTACTTACTTACTTATTTATTTAACTACCTGGGTTTTACCTAGTAGGGAATTGGGCAAAGTGAAGTCAAAGGGAAGCAGAATTTGATATTCTATCACAATTTTCCTGTGCCAGTTTCTGGGAATCATTTTAGTGTTTTGGTAGGGACGTTGGAAAAACTGAAAACGAAAACAGTCATATTGTGATGTTTAATCTCTGACCACAGAGTGTCCATGGCTTTTTTTGTTTGCTCATTGAAAAAGATATGAGAAATACAGAAGCAGCCCAGTTCTCCACAAAAAAGTCCTCATAGTTTTCCCCATCCTACTCTTTGAGGAAGACCTTTCTGCTCCATTCATACACATTTATAAAAGATCGTGCTCTTTGAAGGGCTGGACCAAAGCCAAGAGAGGAAGGAAAGCTTTCTTCAAATAGTAATTTTTGCAGGATGGGAGTATAAGAAATAGGGTGGCAACCAAGCAGTTGGGCTTCTTTAAACCTAAAACTAAAAGACATTAGGGTAACTGAAAGTTGTACTTCGATTATAATTTTTTGGTTTTGCTAGTTATGTGAAACCTACATTGTGAAAACAAAGCCATCTCAGATCTGTAGTTTAGTCTTCATTTTATAGATGGAGAAACTGAGGTTCAGAGATATGAAGTGACTTGTTCAGGGTCTCAGCAGCCGCTTGGGATCTCTGACCCTTTTAGGGTCTCTGTCTCTAACCTGTGGCTCTTCCCCCATCCCTGTTGGGTCTGCTTCAGTGACTGCAGCACAGACCTCTCAGGAGGAAGCTTGTATGGTTATTATGGAAAAGCTATGCTGTGTAAGTCTTTTAGGAGGGTGAGTGCTGGGGGTGGCTTGCCAGATACTGAGTATCTGGGTTTAGAAATGCATAAATGCTTTGAATAAAAATGGGTTGAGATATTAGAAATGGAATGCGGAGGGTGCTTGGGAAAAGGGGGAGGCAGTCCTGGGGTGGGGGAGGCTGGATGAAGAGAGGTAGAAAGATGGAGAAGCGCCCAGCACTTCTACCTAACCCCAAAAAGCTTTAATAAAATGACAAAGTTCACGAGAGGTTAGGGTTCTTGGTTTTCTTCGGAAGCCAGCAGTGGAACTGAGTATTGTTAAGATTGACATAGACTGGAGCAAGGTAGTGTAGTCCAGGCCTAGCAAACATATAGGTACCTGGATATGAGGTGATGTTACATGGTGGGCCTG